TTGCCTGTTACATTCCCCAGGGCATGCGCTCTGAGGCCCCAGAATCCTTTATCTGGTTTATCCCTTTGGGCACTTGCCATTCTCCCTTGCATTATTATTCTTTATACAAATCTCTTGTGTTTCCCGTCAGACTGCAAACACCCCAAGGTCAGAATAAGAAATCCCTCCATTGCACCATAGCACACAGTACAGTGCCTTAGTTGTGGGATTCATTACAGATACTTCTTGAATAAACAAAGAAAAAGGTGAGGCTAAGTATATCCTGGGACTTTAAAAGCTAAAAAAGTTTTTAATTACTACTTACAGCTGGAACTTCAGGCGATTTTTAATTTTTGCTATTGCAGACTATGCTTCAGTGAAATTCTTCCACATACATCTTCTTCAACACATGTGAGTATTTCTCCAGTTACTCTTAGACATGGGATTTATGACTCCAATGGTATGAACACTTAACATTTTGGTAGATACTGTCACATTTCCCTCCAAAAAGTTTATTCTGATTTATATCCCCAACAGGAAATGAGAAGGCCTGTTGGGCATACCTACTTTTAAGTCTTTCTTGGGTATATGTTGGGAAACTTGAACCAACATGATTTTAAAATAATACTTTAGGTCTGTAAAGTACCCTATACTTTTCTAGGTATTTTTACATAGAATATGTATTCTCCTTTGACCTTCATGATAGTCTAGGATATAAGTAGGGAAGACTTTATTCCTGTTTTAGAATCTCAGCCAAAAAAGCTTGCTCCAGGTTTCACTGTGAGTCAGTAGCAGTGCCAGAAGCAGAGCCCTTGAACTGTTTTTCTGAATTTCTCTTTCCACAAGCTGGAAGCACAAGGCTTCAGAGGCAAAAAGGGCATGGCCATGTGGTGAAGAGCCTCCCAAGGGTTCTGCATGTCTTGAATTTATGCCAACGTGGAAAGAATGACCTGATTGGGGTGTTTAGTTTCTTTATCCGAAATAAGCCCTCTTTTCTGACTAAGCCACGTAGGGGAAGGAGGAGACAGGTGGCCTAGTATGTTGGTGTTGGGCTCATCATGAAGCCCTGGACAATGGGAGGTAGGAGCTTAAACACAGTGAGTAGTGTTGCCATGAGCTCTCCTTCCATTTTGTTCCCAGAGGTACTCAATGTAGAGACAGGGGAGAGAATGGACCCAGGGAATTCTTACCACTTTCTTGCTGAGGTTCTCTGAGATCTAATGCTATGAATTCACTTGCAAACTACCTTACTGCTTCCATTACATAGGGTTTTAATATTTTTTGAAGTAGTTTACTGATCTTTGACAAAGAAAGAATATAATGTGACTAGTGCTGTTGTTAAATAGAAATTTTCATGGGCCATTGGAAGAGGGGCTGCTTTGTTAGTCCAGAGCTACTTTACTTCTTACATAGTAGTTTAGGCAGGAAAATTGCTTTATATTGAGGTTAGAATGGAAAGTTCCATAGCCTAACATAGGCCAGCAGACAAGTCAAGGAGGAATACTTTGGAAAGGACAGTTCTTTGCTCCATGAACATCTTCATGGACAAGGACTACACTGTCTAATACTATAGCTAGCCATATGGAGCTGTTAGATGCTTAAAATGTGCCTAGTATGACTGAAGAACTGAATTTTTAAATTTAATTTTATTTAATTTTTAAAAAGGATTTTATTTATTTGAGAGAGAGAGCACACATGAGTGGAGGCGGGAGGGAGTTGGTGTTAGGCAGAGGGAAAGGGTGTTGTTTGCTTGACAGGTGCAGCAGCCTATATGTTATCTACTAAGGTTAGCTATTTTTAAATGTTTTGTTCAAACTTGAGGACCCTTAATTTTCTTAAAACCATTGGTCTGCTTTTTCTGTCAAGTTCTGAGAGATATGTTTTAATATCTCCTGTTATGATAGTAGATTTGTCAGTTACCTCTTGTAAATCCATCAATTTTAATGTTGTATGTTTTAAGATTATATTACTACTAAGTAGGTATGATTTCATGATTTTTATATCTTCTTTGTGTTTTGGTTTCTTTTTTTTAAGATTTTATTTATTTATTCATGAGAGACACAGAGAGAGAGAGAGGCAGAGACATAGACAGAGGGAGAAGTAGGCTCCATGCAGGGAGCCTGATGTGGGACTCGTTCCTGGGTCTCCAGGATCAGGCCCTGGGCTGAAGGCGGTGCTAAACCACTGAGCCACCAGGGCTGCCATGTGTTTTGGTTTCTTAACTTACATTAAAAATGTTTACCTTAATCCTGTCATATTTGATATTAGTATTACTAGAGAAGCCCTCCTTCCATTAGTATTTACATGATGTATCTTTTTCTGTTTTCCACCTGTCATTAACTTTTGCTTGAGCTATGTCTCCTTTAAATGGAAATTGTGATAGATCTTTTTGCTTTACCTATCTAAAAATCTCTTTCATCTGTTTACATTTATTACAATTAATAAAATTATTTGTTTGGGTTTATTTCTAGCACCCATTTTTGTTCTTATTCTTATTTACTGTAATTTCCCTTGACTTCTCTTTCTCCTTTCCTATCCTGCTGGATATTCTCAATTTGCCTTTGGTATCTAATGTCCATCCAACTCTGTGCTCAGGGGGTTAACTTCAATAGACTACCAACAGAAATGCTTGCTCTTTGGCTTTTGATTGGGGTGAAGCCCCAGTAGGATATTGGTGGACAGGATATTGGAGGAAAGTTAGGGTATTGGTTCCACCAGTTCCCTTTCTGCAGATCTGGGTTCCCCTAATGGGGAACTCAGCACATGTCAGGTGGCCATCCCTAACAGGTAACTCTTGCTGGCTACCAATAACTTTTCCTTCCCTTTGCCCATTTAGATCTAGCAGAATTAAAGATACACATTGTTGTAACATGGACTATTTCACCATCCTTTTTGGTCTCTCATAATCCTTTGTAAAACAAAACAAAACCAAGCAAAACAAAATGCAAGAATACCTTTTAACAAACTCTTTTCAGTTACCCCTTTTAGGTATGCCATCTGTTTCTAGCCAAATCCCTGTCCCATACACCTACTTTGTAATGGATGGATCACTTTTTTTTTTAAGTTTTTTTTTTTTAAGATTTTATCTATTTATTCATGAGACACACACACACAGAAAGAGAGAGGGAGAGAGAAGAGGCAGAGACACAGGCAGAGGGAGAAGCAGGCTCCATGCAGGGAGCCTGACCTGGGACTGGATCCCAGGTCTCCAGGATCATACCCTGTGCCGAAGGTGGCGCTAAACCGCTGAGCCACCTGGGCTGCCCTGGATCACATTTTCTTAAAGCTTTTTTAAGAAAAAAGGTGGAAGATAATACTAATTGCTCAACTAAGTCCTACTCCATTAGGACTGGTTGGCATGGACTTTTTCTCAAATATATTATTTTCATGTTATTTTTCTCTGGATTTAGGCACCTATGGAAAAAAGTATTGACTACTTTATAGATGAATTGTTAAATAAAAATCAATAATGTTTATCTCTAATTTATTGTGTCTATCAAAGTATGCATCCAAACTTTCCCATAGTACAGTCCTATGGGCCAAACCTTTGAGATATACAGAGGAGATTCAGGAAGGAACGGAATTTAACTCACCATCTGTCAATCAAACAACCAATGTTTATTGAACATTTATGTGAAAAGCTTTGCACTAGGTATTGGGAAGGATGACAAAATGTTAAATTAAATGTTGAGAAAACACCTAAATTACCAGAACTCTTAGATGTATTGTCTTATTTAATCTTTCCACCAGTTTTATGTTCTTTCTGTTCCCCTAGGCTGGATTTCCACCAAAGGGGTGGGAGAGTCTTGGAGTTACTAAGAGACCTCTAAGCAAAGGTGTGAAGGGCAACATGGAATCTGGGTAGAGTACAGAGTATGTGAAGATCTGGTCACTCAACCAGCATTTCTAGAATGTCAAAAACATGTTATCTTGTGGTGAGCAGATTGCAGTAGGTTGAGGAGAGGTTAGGAACAGGGCAGGTAATACATTTTGAAGTAGAGGGGGCAAGAGGGACAGAATGGAGGGGGCACTGGCTGGCAGGGGGAAGGACCCCCTCTGAGTCATCATCCCCTGTCCCTCCCTCACACAGTCCCAAGAAGGGAATCACTAGTGAGCTCTGGGCTGACACCCGGCCCCCAGTGTGGCAAATAGCAACCACAGGAAGTAGAACACTGTGGTGAACACACAAGACAGTGAATCAGAAGAACTCTGCTCAATTCCCTTTTCCTCCAGGCTTGTTACACCCTCTCGGGTCAAATCACATCACTACCTTAGACTTGGAATTCCCGCTTGAAGGGGAAGTGGTACGCTCCTGACCGAGTTTCTGCCCAGTGAAGGCACTCACATGCCTGTAGACCACAGGCAAAGGGCCTTGGTGGCACCTAGTTCCTCCTATTTCTCCCAACAGCAACCAGGGTGGGAATTGTGTGAGGTGAGGAGATGGGCACGAGAGTGAAGGCTACATGTCACATGCTTCTAAAATTCCAATTAACACAAAACACACACGTCCCAAGTAACACTCGACCATAGAAAAAAATTTTTAAATACATTATTATTTTTTTTTAAATTTATTTATTTATGATAGTCACACACACACACACACAGAGAGAGAGAGAGAGAGAGAGAGAGAGAGAGGCAGAGGGAGAAGCAGGCTCCATGCACCGGGAGCCCGATATGGGATTCGATCCCGGGTCTCCAGGATCGCGCCCTGAGCCAAAGGCAGGCGCCAAACCGCTGCGCCACCCAGGGATCCCTAAATACATTATTATTATTATTGTTTTAAGTAGGCTCCATGCCCAACGTGGGGCTTGAACTCAGACCCTGAGATTAAGAGTTACATGCTCTACTGACTGAGCCAGCCAGGTGCCCCTAAAATACATTTTAAAAAAGCTAAGACACTGCATCCAAGATTCACTACTCTGATATAACCACTAAAAACATTTTGGTGAATATCTTTGGAAAGTAAATCTTCCTTTTTTATTTATTTATTGTTTTAAAAATATTGTATTTATTTATTTCAGAGAGAGCACGTACACAAAAGTTGGGGAAAGAACAGAGAGATTGGGATAAGCAGACTCTGCGCTGAGCCCAGATCCTGATGTGAGGCTCAATCTCAAGATCCTGAAATCATGACCTGAGCCAAAATCAAGAGTCAGATGTTCAGCTGACCAAGTCACCCAGGTATATCTTCCTTTTCACAAAACATATTTTCTCAAATGTCTATGGGTAAAATATAACACACATTGATTTAAATGCAAAAACATAAGAGTGGGCATCTTCCAGAGGAGACTGTTTGTGTCTGATGAAAATGTGATGGAGAAGATATGAATGGATGAGTGTGTTTTATCTTCAGCATCACTTAGGAGGACTATTCATCTCTTTCTCTAACAAGTGTGTTCCAAGGTCAGCTGGTGGTAGTTTTGAGCTACTAGGGAAATTTTGGGCTTGAAAATGTGAATATAAAAAAAAAAATGTGAATGTAATAAACAGATAGACTTTAAATATATATATATATATATATATATATATATATATATATATATATATATATATATATATGAATGGGATCCCAGGGGCACCTGGGTGGCTCAGTGTTTGAGCATCTGCCTTATGTTGTGATCCCGGGGTCCTGGGATGGAGTTCCCTGTCAGGCTCCGGGGGAACCCTGCTTCTCCTTCTGCCTATGTCTCTGCCCCTCTATGTCTCTCATGAATAAAAAAAAAAAAAAAAAAAAAAAAAAAGAATGGATCCTATTACACACACTGCTTTGTAATCTGTTTTTTCCCTTGTTCTCTTTTTGTTGACCATATGTCCCCCTCTCTAAAACCTCCCTCAGTTTTTACTTTGCATCACTGGTTCTTGGGCAGGAAAGGGCTAGAAGAGAGCCATTTGCATTTGGGCCCAACAGAAGCTCTGAAAGAAGCTGTCTCCCTTAGTGCCAGTGAGAAGAAAATAAATAGTGGGAGACTAAGAAATACAGCTTCCTCCCTTACCCTCTGATAGCCTAGCCTGGGGGGTGGGGGAGGTGGGATTTGAGGTGGAGACAGAGATTAATACAAAACCAAACAACAGGGCAAATGTGGGGGAGCTGGATGGCCTCCCTTCAATCAAAGATCCCCTCAGTTAGCTCTCATTTGGAAGGAAGGAAGGCAAGCCAACAGAGTTGAATCTACCAATTCATAAGTCAAGTGTGACTGACAAATACATATTTCCTGAATGGTCCACAAAGTATACTGCTTTGAAAAGGGTTGGTGTCACTCCAAAGAATCCGTAATTGGCTGAGTATTCATAAATTTAAGGTAATATATTTGGTCATTGCATCTTTCTGGGCTTACCCTGTATTTCAAAACTTCCTGCTCAGTCACATAAACAATATGGGCTGAACATGGAAACAAAGGAGGTGCCTCAAGGAAAATGAAGATGAAAAAGATCTATATTCCTCAAAGGGCTCATTGTCTAGTGTGAATATAGAAGAAATGCACAAATACCATCCACACAAAGCACAAGACAGTCACAGACTCTGAGCCAGACTGTTGGGTTTGAACCCTGGTCCACCACCATGCAAGTGACCTTATATAACACAGCCAGGCCCTCTAAGTACCTCAGGGCATAATGATAGAACCTGCCTCTGGGAGTATGGGAGGTTTAAAGGGTAAAAGCTCATAAGCCCTTGGCAAGAAGCAGTGTGCAGTTAAGTGCGTACCACAGTTCCTGTACATGTGGGGCTAACCAGAAAGAAGAGACCAGACCAAGAAAACACTTCTTGAAAGAGGTAGGTCTTGATCTTTGGAAAGGTTCTGATGGCACAGATGGAAAGGGTAGGATTTCAGAAACACAAGACTTGGAGTTCAAGCCATACGGAGAAGAGTCTGAAGAGAGTGACTAGAACATTTGCCTCAAGCTTTGTGTCAGACAGGTGTGAGTAGGAGTCGAGTCAGGAAATCAGGGCCTAATATACTGGCCTGAAGAGGCTGTGCCCAGTTTGGTAGGAAATGAGGAAATACCAAAGGCTTTGAGCAGAGGATACCAGGTGCAGATGTTGTTGAGTAGGAGTTACTGGGCAGATGGGGTTGGATGGGGGAGGTGAGATGGATGTGGGGTCACAAGAGGCCAGTGTGGAAATCCAGGGCATTAATGGGGGTGGAGTGCAGGGTGATGTGGGAAGGATAATGGAGGGGCAGGGTCAGCTTCAAGGGCATGCAACCTTCACAGTCACATAGGACCATGCTCCAAGGGTCCTGTGCTTGGTTTATTTTTTTTTTAATTTTTATTTATTTATGATAGGCACACAGTGAGAGAGAGAGAGAGAGGCAGAGACACAGGCAGAGGGAGAAGCAGGCTCCATGCACCAGGAGCCCGATGTGGGATTCGATCCCGGGTCTCCAGGATCGCGCCCTGGGCCAAAGGCAGGCACCAAACCGCTGCGCCACCCAGGGATCCCCTGTGCTTGGTTTAAAGCTCTGCAGTCACTGTCTCGAAATTCTTGATAGATTTTGAACAAAGAGCTCTACAGCTTTTGAATTTAGTCTCAAAAGTTATGTAACCAGTCTTGAGGGAGGCACAAATAGGATGGACAGAATGCTTGCATATGGGGTGAAGCAGAGAAGAGAAGTCATTGAAAGAGTTTTGGGGAATTTTGGTGAACATATGAAGGGTAAGGAGTGAGAATGGCATTGTGGAGAGAACACTGTGTGATGTACCAGCCATCACGGAGAGATATCTGAAAACTTGGTAGAAATTTGGTCTCAGAGCTCAGCAAACAACTTTGAGATATAGTTATTTACTTGTAAATCATATCCTCTTATTAACCTTTTCTACAGACACTAGAGGATTGTTCCACTTTATTTTAATGAGATACATATTTTAATTAAAAAATGAAATTGATAGACGTATTCACTGAATAATGATATATGAAGTGTTAGAAATGTGTGTAGGGTTAAAAAAAGGTCAAGAATCCCTATAGACCAGAAGCGGGGACCTTGGTTCTCTTTTCCATCTTGCAAGATGGCGGGTTAAAAAGCTGAGAAGCCAGATACTAAGGAGAAGAAACCTGAAGCCAAGAAGGCTGATGCTGGTGGCAAGGCAAAAAAGGGTAACCTCAAGGCTAAAACACCAAACAAGGGGAAGCCCCATTGCAGCTGAAACCCTGTCCTAGTCAGAGGAATTGGCAGATATTCCTGATCGGCTATGTATTCCAGAAAAGCCATGCACAAGAGGAAGTATTTGGCAGCTAACTCCAGGGTTGAAAAGAAAAAGAAGGAGAAAGTTCTTGCTACTCTTACAAAACCAGTTGGTGGTGACAAGGATGGTGGCACCTGAGTGGTTAAACTTTGCAAAATGCCTAGGTATTATCCTACCAAAGATGTGCCTTGAAAGCTGTTGAGCCATGGCAAAAAAAACCTTTCAGTCAGCATGTGAGAAAGCTGCAAGCTAGCATCACTCCTGGGACCATTTTGATTATCCTCCCTGGGCGTTACAGAGGCAAGAGGGTAGTTTTCCTGAAGCAACTGAGCAGTGGCTTGCTACTTGTGACTGGACCACTGGCTCTCAACTGAGTTCCTCTGCGTAGAACACACCAGAAATTTGTCATTACCATTTCCACCAAAATTGATATCAGCAGTGTGAAAATCCCCATACATTTCACTGACGCTTATTTCAAGAAGAAGAAGCTGCCAAAACCCAAACACCAGGAAGGGGAGATCTTTGACACAGAGAAGGAGAAATATGAGATTACAGAGCAACGCAAGTTTAATCAGAAAGCTGTGGATTTGCAAATTCTGCCAAAAATCAAAGTTGTTCCTCAGCTTCAGGGCTACCTCCACTCTGTTTTCTCTCACAAATAGAGTTTACCCTCACAAATTGGTGTTCTAAATTTCTTTTTTTTTAATTTTTTTTTGTTTTATTTATTTATGATAGGCACACAGTGAGAGAGAGAGAGGCAGAGACACAGGCAGAGGGAGAAGCAGGCTCCATATACCGGGAGCCCGACGTGGGATTTGATCCCGGGTCTGCAGGATCGCGCCCTGGGCCAAAGGCAGGCACCAAACAGCTGCGCCACCCAGGGATCCCTTTTTTTTTTTAATTTTTTTTTGTTTGTTTTAGGTGTTCTAAATTTCTTACAAAGAACCTAATTAAACAACTGATCCATTAAAAAAAAAAAAAAAAGGTCAAGAACCTTATCTGGAAGACTATTGCTATGGGCTAAATTGTGTTCCTCTCCAACATTTATGTGTTGAAGTCCTGATCCCCCAGTACCTCAGAATGTACTGAAGTCAGGGCCTTTACAGAGGCAACTGAGTTAAAATGAGGTCAACAGGGTGAAACCTAATCCAGTAACACTGGTGACCTCCTAAGAAGAGATTAGGACGCAGAAAAACAGAGAAGGAAACATGTAAGAACAAGGGAGAAGATGAGCATGTCTAAGCCAAGGAAAGGAGGCCTGAGGAGAACTATCACTGCCAATATCTCATTCTCAGACCCCATCCTCCAAGGCTGTGAGAAAATAAATTTCTCTTGTTTCAGCCACATAGTCTGTAGTACCTTGTTACAGCAGCCCTGGCAAACATAGCCATCTTCCTTGAGAAGAACAAGAAGAGGTATTTATATCCTTGGAGACAAGCAAGAAGTGGCCAGGGAGGTGATGGGAGCAGGGAGCAGTCACAAAAGCAAAGGGTATCTCAGGGATGAGGAGTGGTTGCTAGTTGTCAATGAGGATGCAGGTCTTACAGAAAGGTGCTGGATTTTAGCGTAAGGAAGTCACTAATGCCTTTGAGGGAACGATACCATTTGTGCAGCAGGGGAAAACCAGGTATAGTGGGGTTGAGGGAGTGTGACATGATAGTCTACAGGTAGAGTATCCTTTTTTTTCCAAGAAGTTTCTGTATGAAAGGCAGGAGATGAGATAGGACAATAGGTTGAAGGGAAAACAGAATCAAAGGAAGGATTTATTCAGGGTGAGAGTTAGGGAGCCCTGGGCAAACATGGCTATAGAAACCCCAGAAAGAAAAAAAAAGAAACCCAAGAAAGAAGGACCCAGTAAAGCATGTTGTGCCCAATTTACAACTGTTAAATGAGTTAGAAGGAAACTCACAAGGACCAGGGGAAGGGCACACAAACCCCAATTGAACAGTTAACCCATAACACTGGTTTGGTACAATATCTGTAGGAGGGAGAAGGAAGGG